GTGCCAAGATACAGAGGAAGCTAATCATACCCCTGACCTCGACCTCATTAACATTGTTCTGGAACCAACAGAGCCGGCATTCCACGGCATTGTTTGACTTTGGATTGTCTCTGCTAATTTATGGTCACCGGTCCTTAGCATGTAAGACACAGTACTAAACGCCTCCTTTTAACTTCCTAAAACTTAGACTTTGCGTTGTAAGTCCTTGGGCCCTTCTGATGGAGAATTGGTCCCAAGATAGATCAAGAGTGACAAGACTCGGGAGTATGAGAAGGAGGCCTAGATGGGTGCGTGTGCACGGGCACGTGATCTAGGTGTTCACGGATCTGGGTGCAGGCCTCAGACTGGCACTTTCATCCATTACAGCAGGGCTCGTCAAACCTGAATAGGTACAAGAATTATCCAGAGTCTTGTTAAAATGCTGGTTCTGACTCAGCAGGCCTGGGTGGAGCCTGGATTCTGTATTTCTAATTAATTCCCTGTGGAGTTGGAGATGCTGATGTGAATAAAACTGTGGGATAGTCGACTGGAGGCTGCCACCCATGAAGGCTGATACCAGGAGAGCACCCCTAGGGTCTGATTTAGAATCTGTTGCTTGTGACTTAATGCTAACCTCTCCTGGGGTGACACCAAGGGCCCTGAGCGCTTTCATTTCCCTGCGGTCTTGCAGTAGCCATGGGACAGCTGCACAGGGGTTCCTTTAGTCCTTAGGGCGGGGCGTTATGAGGGATTTCTGGGTGGGATATAGCCTAAGGGGGCAGGTTGTGTTTTTGTTGTGTTATAGTTAAAGTGATTTCCTCATTACATACTGATTGTATTCCATAATTTTAAGTGTATAACCAAGGTTCTAACACTTGCCAATTAAAACTGCATTTTCTCACATTCCCTAAAACTTTTAAAAAAATTGTGATTGTATAATTCCAAACTTTCCTATTGATTCAGTTAGGACATTATTTCTGAAACTTGCCTGACACTCTGCTAGGGTGTGCATGCACATTCTCAGACCCCCTCCTCTGGGGTTCGGACTCTCTAAATCTGGAATGGGTCTCGGGGGGCTCTGTGTTTATGCATCATTCTTATGACCAGGCAGGTTATAGAAACTCATGTAGAGAAAAGGCGGTGTAGAAACCCACCTCTAAGCCTGTGGTATTGGCTGTGGATGTTAGGGCATCCTTGCCTGTGATCTTGGCTTCTTGGATATTTGTTTGGTAGGACTGGCTTCCGTCCCATTGGGCCCACTTCAGATTTTATCTTGACACATACTTTCATTCTTCCAGAGAGACTCTTGTCTCAGATACGACCAAATCAGAGAGTCCTTTGTCAACAGTGTAAGAAGTCAGTTCAGTGAAGCCGTTATTTTTAGGAAGGTTTCGCAGACACTGATTATTAAGTGCTTTGGGCTTTCTTGAGCTACAGGACTGTAAGCATGAGCCTTGACAGAGAAGTCTTGGAATGTCTTGAGACTATTTCTACTCCTTCCCTTTCTTTGGTTCAGAATAAGGGGAATTTTTTTGGTAAGTAAATGCTGATGGAAATGGGCGGAGAAGGATCCTTTTCCTACACAAACCAGTTCGGTTCTGGTCCAAGTGAATAGACAGATTGAGGAGTTGAGCTTTCCACATCTTTGTATCAACATTAACCTACATTTCTACAAATGCTATATCCATCACTGCCCACTGTAGAAGCAGACTCAGGTGATGAAATAGTTCAGTGTGATGGGATCAGAGGGATATAGAAAGGGCTACTTATCTAAAGGGGGAGATTCACTTACTGTTGCGCCCAGAACTCTACGATTCCAGGAATTTGAGTTAACATTTCTCTTTAAAACTCATTAGACATATAAGCATCCATAGGCTAGGTAAAACATTATTTATGCCTTAACAGGAGCGATTTCATAAATGCTTCTCAAGACCAACTGTTGATGGCTAAAATCAGGGTCTGAGGGAGTGGACTTTGATGTGGACTGGATGCAGGGCTGCAAAAGGTGTCCCAAGTGTCAGGTGTCTCTGGTCAGGGAGAGGCCAGGCACTAGGCAGGACCAATTCTTGTTCGGGGGTTGGGGGTGTGGGGTGGGGGTGGGGTGTGTGTGTGTGTGTATTATAGGAACTTGAGCATCATTAATGATGTGTCTAAATCTATCTTAAGCAGTCATTTCACATATACTTGACCAGTTGTAACAGAATCTACATGTGAAAATTAAGAATTGAACACCTTATTGTACTTGGGATTATTTTGCTCTTTGTTTAGCTACTTAATTTTGAGAGAGAAACTAAGTCCAAGCTTCAGAAAATGCTCAGCTTCTGTACGTGCTTCACAGCTGAGCTTGATCATCAGCAGAAACTTTACCTCTTCTACTGGGGACTTTTTCACAGTGTGTTTTGAGATGAAAAGCTTGACCCTTACCACCCAGAATGTGTGCTTTAGTATATGCTTTCTCTCTTGTATCTGCAAAGGATAATGACATTTTCCATGAGTGCTCAGCTCATGGCTGAATTGGACATTATAATGCCAAAACCAAAACTTGCTTGAGCGAGACAGCGTGTTTCTAGGATAGCATGAAAATGGGTAAGGAGATTGTCTTGGCCTCTACTGGTGGGGCAAGCCAGAACCAACAGGAAAGTGACACTAAGTACATCCATGGGACAGACCCACCTGCTACCACACCCATGGCCATTTTCTGCCCTTTCTCCCCTGCCTCTACTTTGTCCTTAGAATGAACTTGACTGCCTTAAACTCCAAGATTCACAAGATGTTCCTTCTTGCTCTTAGGTAGGGTCTTGGGGAAAAAAAATTTTTTAAAAGAATTGATTCTTATTACAAAGGGTAATGGCCATACTTACCTGGGACAGGTAGGAACACAGCCATTGTATGTGAGAAAGCATTGACCTATCCATCCTGGCTGCAATTAGCTTGCTTTGTAGTCTTGGGCAAGTCATTTCACTATTTCTGCTAATAAAGGTGAAGAGATGGAATCCAGACCTGGAATTCTTGTTCTAGATGAGTGTATGACTTGTGTGTTGAATACTCAGCACACCCTCTGGGAGCTTACAGTCAGGTAGGGGAGAGGGCAGAACAGCCATTATCTTCCTTGTAGTTAGCAAGGTATGGATAGATAATGAACAGGCCTCGGAACACTGTTCTTATGTTTTGAACTCAGTTTCCCTCCTTTTGGAAAGAAAAGTAAGAGTTACAGAAACATAAGCAAGAATGTAAGAATCTGCCAGCTTTTTATGGAATATGCCTAGTGTAGAAGAGAGGTAAATTTTCTCTTATAAAGAGGAGATAGATGTTCAAAGAGAGAGATAGCTGAACTAAGCTCTTCTTAACCCTGAATTCTTTTATGACTTCTGGGTCTTGATATCTTTGTAAGCACAGAATTTGTTCCACACTCCAGAAAGTTGACCCTCTGATAAAACCGTGTGGAGCCCTCTGGAAGGCTTCACTGTTTCTTTCCTGGAGCAGTCAGATTTTATGTCTCAGTGGGAGGAGAAATGTCTAAAAAGGGAAACATGGCTCCACAAAGGATTCCCTTTGTCTGTCCTGGAGCAGTGAGGGCCACAGATGAGGACAGGGAATTTCCTGGGGAGATGAAACCCTCCCTCGGCACATCCCCACCTGTAGGTGGCCAGTGCATTTCTCTTCTTGGTCAGCAGGGCCACAAATGGGTCCAAGCCTGCACAAACCAATGCCCGTGGATTTTCTTTTAAACAGAAATGGACATCCTGGGATGTGACAAGTTAATATGCTGGGCTAGCTCTGAGCTATATGCTCTGCCCCCACTGCTGACACTGCCCCCATTTAGAACTTACTGCTTTTAGGAGGCATCCCAATCACCTGAGGGGGCTTGTTATAACACATTGGTGGGCCTCACTCACCCCTGAGGTTCTGACTCACAAGGTCTGGAGTGGGCCAAACATTGCATTTCTAACACATTCCCAGGTGATGCTGATGCTGTGGGCCTGGGGGACTACACTCAGAGAACTGCTGTGATACCAGGCACTTCTCAACCTTCTGACAGATGTGTTGGGACAGGCAAACTCTGCTCCTTGAGTGGGTATCAGTATAGGGTGAGTGGTCTTCTGACGGGACCTGTAGCAGTCACTGGAATGTTGGAAGGAACACTTGCTCTGTCTTCTTACCCAAGGGCTGCCTTTCTGTTTCTCTCCACAAATAGACTGGGGATGTGGCATTTGGGGGTAGTTCAGATCGCCTTTCAGTGCCTCCTTCCAATCCCTTCTCTTTTTGAAAGAGGCTTCCTGAACCACGCCTCTCCTCCACATTAGTCCCTTCACAGACTTGCCATTGGCCTTCCTTCAGATAAAGCCCAAACTACTACAACTTCATCTCTCACTGGTTTTTCACTAAGTCTCTGAAATATTCTTTTCATTTATGAATTCACTATGTTTCTTCTTGCTTCCAGGGTGTACCATGTTGCTAGACCTCTGCCTAGCTTGCTCCTTGCTTCTCTCTTAGCCTGGCCAAGTTCTGCTTGTCAGACCTCGAGTAACCATCACTGGCCCTAGGGGACTTCCTTTAACTCCTTTCGGATTAGGTGGTTTCTCTGGAAAGACTCCGCTCCATCTTGTCATTTTCTCTCTGAGGCTCCTGTCAGCTGCCTCAGGGTCCTGTTTACTACCTGCTAACTTCCCTGTCATGGACCTGCTTGCTTCCCCGCCCTGGGGGCGGGGACCTTGTCATGTGTTCATCCAAGGATTCCAGGCTTGGCCTGGTGCCTGGCATGTAAAGGGCCTTTCTGGTCATTCTGCACAGAAGATACTTCAGTGGAGTAGCTTGAGTCCCTGACTTCCTGTTACCTTGCCAGTGAGTCATAACACCATGATTCTCACAAGGTCTCTGATCCTACCCCTTGGCCAAGTGACGCTGACCATGTTTTCTGCTCTGAGACCAAGGAGTTGGGCCCAGGGAGTCCAGCCCCTGCCGGAACCACTGAAAAACTGGCTATTCCAACTTTGAAAAATGACTCTCCTGTTGCTTTGCAGGTAAACCCGGAAGCAGACACAAGTTCACAGCTGGCCTGCGGTTCTTACTTCTGTTAAGGAGCAGCTCCTCCTTCAGGTAAGGGGTTAATTCCTGGAACCTGCTCAGGCTCAGGTGGGTTGTAGGAAAACTCTGGCCTTGATGATGCGCTCTGACAAACACGCAGAGTTCTCTTTCACTGAAAAGAAAATCCTTAAATGTAGGGCAGCAGCTCCTCTAAGAAAGGTATGAGGTAGCCCCCCAACTCTATAGAGTTCCCAGAGAAGTGTTCCCCTGCCGGCTTTCTCCTGGGCACTGCTGGCCTTCTCATCATCTGATGCTCTCCTTTGCACGGACATCCTTCTCCCCTGCATTTGAATTGGGGCTTCAGATTCCTTGTCCTCACATCAGAGCCAGCACAAATGTATCAAACTAAGCAAAACGCTGTGTGGAGCATAGTCTTTTCTCAGCTTTCCTGCAGAATGAATTGCTGCTTCTCTGTTCACGTGACAACTTACCATGTGAGCTTCACTTACTAGTTTGCATACGTCCTTATCCTCTAGTTCCCTGAGTTCCTCTTTTGCCATCTCCTGTCTAGCATGGCATTCAGAAAATGAATGAATATTTGTCTGAGAAAAAAAATGCCTTAGTAAACTAAACTAAACTAAGGCGTGTGCGCACGCGCGCACACACACACGATATTGTAGTCCTAAAACATTTGTCTTTTTGGATTAATTACATGACTGTTTGCTCACATTACCATGTGTAATTGAGAATTTACCATAATGTAGTCAAGTCAATAGGAGTTTCGGTTCTTGCCCCTACTGAAAAGGGAAAGAAGTTAGGAGTTTTTGTTTCATTGTCATCTTCTTGAATAGTAAGTGATGCTAGGTCATGGAGCAGTAGTGTACTAAGTGACAGCCTGTAACTGTGAGCCCCTGGCCCTCTTGGCTGTCCTGCAAGAAACTGTTGCCAACCAGCCTTTGGAGCCCTGATCAGCCATGAGACTGAGCGTATATCTAAATGTGTACGTGGCAAGGGAGCAAGCAACAATTGACTTTCCCAATTAATAACCTTAAGGCAATGAAAATATTTCTGAGTGAGGTTTAATAAAAAAGCTGTCGATCAGTGCATTCAGTTTTAATAAAAAGGCGGTCGGTCCATGCATTTCACTTTCCCCCACATGTCTTAATAAGTTGGATGCTTTGAAAAGTGCACTGATTGGCCTGATGCCATACTGCTCCATCTGTAGGCTGGGAGTAGCAACCCCCAGGGGTGGGTCAGCTGAATGATGGAGCCAGAATGGGGCCTGCGTCCTTTTGGGAAGTGGTCAGGGGCAGAGTTCATGGACGCTGGGGGTGGGGGGATATGGTACTTCAATGTAACCAAAGACTTCTTTCATGTAGGAGAGTGCAGTCTTGAGTTTTTACTTCTGCTTTCCTGTTCTGCTCTTCTTCAGCCTGTTTATTGTTCAGCCTCTCCAGCTGCTTTTTTTGAGTGTGTGCAGCACTAAAAGAGAAAGAGTTGTCTTTTGGTGTCTTCATGAGCTTTTCACAACCCAGTCAACAAGTACCATATGAAAGCAGTCACAGAACCATGGTTTCTACTGGTGCTGAGTTCTAGCTGTACAGCCACCTGCAGAAGAAGTTAGTGAAAGACAATCTGGTAGGAAAATGGCTCTTAATTTGACCCTGCTTGTGTTCTTAACACTTTCTAAGGCTGGGGTAGATCGAGGGCTGCAGCTTTGCCTAGGAATTTCCAGTCTTCATGGAATCTAGTTTGCCTGTCAATACTGGAAAAATAAGAAAAATAAATTGCAGCTTAAAAGTCCTGATGTTAAGATGTGAATGGATTTTAGCTTTTTAGTAGGTTTTGGAATCTGAGCTATTACTGTAGAAGTTGATGCAAGGTGATGCTTGTCGGGCTGCTCTCTTTGTGCTGCCAGAAACATGTTTTTTTTTTTTTTTTTTTTTTTAGCACCCAGTGAATAATAATTAGCACCTCACTGAGCTTCTGGGTTAGCTTTTCTCAGCCTGCCTCCTGCTGTGCAATGCAGTTTTGATAATAAGGTTCAAAAAACTGAGGTAGGTCAAGTCTTTGAGCTCCTGAGCTGGCTGCCTACTCACACAGAGGCGTGCCCGCAGGCACATTTTAGAGAACTTTCTAGTTGAACCTTGACCATCCCACACTATCCTAATTAAAGACCAACAAGTGATGCAGTTCCCCAAAGTGCCTGAGAGCTTCTGAACTGTGTGTTATTGACTTCTGATGTGGTGCTCTTCTTTCACTCAACGAATTGTTTATTCATTCTAAAGATGGAACTGCTAGTGCCTCAGCAGTTGAGTTTATATATTAGGGCATGTGTGTTTTTGATATATCTGTTTTGGAACCTTGGCCTTGATCCAAAGTTACTGTCCAGCATGGTCCCCTTGTGTCTAGGGTAGACATTTGGGAGCAATCAGAGCAAAGGCAACTAGCGGACACAGCAACTGGTCTGCTGGACTCAGACTCCGGTGTCATTAGCATACTGCTCTGTGAACCCTGGTTTCCTTTATTGCTGAAATGCATGGGAACCCAGACTGTGGCTGGTGACAAATACACACAACAGACAAATAGCACATTTCTCCCTCCAGAGACTTTGGTTGTTTGAGGTGAAACCTTTCTCTTGAGCTTCAGGTGAGGCCTTTATCTTTTCTTTGTAAAGAATCAGTTTCCAAAATAGGCTTTCAAGTTTCATTCTACATTTCCCAGGTATTGATATCTTGGAGAAGAATTTGCTTTTTCCATTTCCAGAGCACAATCAATGCATATCTCAGGAACCACTTTTTACTTTGATCAGGTCATTTGTCAGATGTGATTTATTGCCTGGTTTGTCTTATCCACTACAGGAGTTCTGTTGTTGATTTGACAGAAAACTTACAAGTACTTGTTTCTAGAAAAAAGTTGGTTTTAAATGGAATATCTTAGACCTTTGCTTTATGAAAAGATTGGAGAAATTGTTTCAATTACTCTCAGGTCCTCTTCCAGTTAAGAAATCACCATTTCCTGTTCCTTAGTAACTTTTTAGGATTATGGACTTGAATTGGGAGGAGGCCTTTGGATAACTAGTTAATAAAAGTAACTTTTCCAAATGGGCACAAGAGAGTGAAAAAATTCCTCTTCTATCTCTTTCAATGACAAAGAGTAGCATATGATTCTTCCCTGTAGAGCATGTCTTACATGGTGGAGCAGTTTCTGAGGCTTCTGGAATTCTTAGATTCCTTTAAGTCTAGAGGCAGCCTTCTTGACTGTCTTGAGACTGACCCTGTTGATGCTTCTCTCTCTTCCTCCACCACCTGATGGGCAAGCCCTGTGCTCACCTGGCCTGCATTCTGTCCTCCTGCCGGGGGTTGCTGAGGAGCAGTCCTCTATGGCTACAGTCTGAGAAAGAAAACAAACAGCTGAGCTCCCATGGCAGCCCAGCAGGCTGGGGAAAATAGTTCTCATTCTCTTTGTTCCTGGGTTCAAAGTACACTGAACGTTTTATGGGGGCGATCAGCCCCCGCAAGGTGCTATTTTGAGTGGGCCTGTATTTTCGCCTGGTGGACAATTAACCATGCTGACCTCCTCCTTTTGCCTTTGCCTTTCTGGCTGAGTTGACGTTAATGCTCAGAGTGAGAAGGGGCTGCTGCTCCTTTGAGCAGAGCACCAGGCAGGGCTGGGGAAACATTTGATCTTGTTCAAAGGGGATGTCTCTGAAGCATGAAGATTGAACTGATTGTGACCCCACCCTGGGGGAAGGAGAAGCACCCTCTGGAGAACAGGCCCAGAGGAAGAAGCCTGCAATTACTAATCCCCTGGCCTATGGGTCTTCAGGGTCTCATATCCGTTTAAAGGAGAGAGAATTGGGATTGAAGGTAGTAAAATAGGCCTTAAATTAGAGGAACAGGGGGTCATTTCATCTAATTTTGTGCTTGTTACTGATGAATAAAAGGCAGAGGAGATAATTCCTGTAGCCTCCTTGAGATCTTTATCACCATGGGGTGGCATTTGTGGAGCTAGCACAGGAGCTGGCCATTTCCTTCCTGGTTAACCTGGACCTCCATTTCCATAGCACCAGGGGAGGGCGTGGGGATGCAGTCACCCCCTAGGGTACTGTGGTCAGGATTATGGAGTTTCTCCTGTAGTGAGAGGTCAGTGAATGAAAACAGTTGATAAAAATCCCCACACACCACTTGACATGACTCAGGAACATGGCATTCACACTGGAGAAATCCACCAGCAAAGAGAGCTCATTTAGCATTAGGATGGTGTCTTACTTCTGAGGATGGCTTGTCAGTCATCTGTGGTCGATGCGCGTTATCTAGAGCATGATAGTCATCAAATTCCTTTGAGCTGAGCATTGTTCAAAGTGCTAATTCTCGTGGTGGGGAATTAGCCAGGAAATGAGAACTCAGCCTTCTGTTTGATTAGTGCTGTTCTGTTCACAGTGCACATTCAGGCCCGAAACTTCCTGAGAGCCCTGCAGGAGCTGGTGTATGTGCCTGTGTCTGCAGAGAAGGGAGGGAGGCCCAGAGGCCCTGTGACTTGCCCTAGGTCTCCTGGAAGGCAAGCGGGGGATCTGGGATTCTCTCCCTGGACTTCCCTGGACTTCCCCCTACTTAGAAGAAAGTAGGGAAGTGGGAGAGGAAATGAAAAATTTCCTTGAGGAGAGGGAGAGAGCACTCATGGTAGATAGCTAGTTCTCTGTGCCAGCCACCAGCTGGCACCATTCCCCCAGGCAGCGGGGCTGGTCTGAGGGAAGCAGTGACCAGGGTGGATAGGGACTGGGAAGGGAAGAAGAGGATGGCTCTTTTTTAGGTCTGAAACAGCAGAAGCAAAGTGTGGAGTGCCTTCTGGAAAGCATTGATCAGGAAGCATGACAGTCCCAGCTGTCTACATCACCGCTGCTGCTTGCTGCTTCGTTTCTAGGCCCCGGTCTCCGTGGCCATCAGATTCACACTCTTACTCTCTCATCTCTGATCACTTTTAGTCTCCAGCTCCTCCCTCATTCCAGCATACATTTCTGCTTTATATTTGTGGGGTTAGCTCAGAATAAAGAGAAAAGTTCTATAAGATGTGCTAGTACAGGCTACACTGTTAAGTGCTTTTAATCATAACTAAGGTTGGTACAGTTCTTATAAAAATCTGTTCCCCCATTGATTCAGGAGCTGATATTTCCCCCTCATATTGATAATGGAAACTCGATACATCGCCTTTCTATTGGATGTGGTACCCTTGGGATCTTCTAGAAGGTAAAACTCCAGCCAAGTGGTGTCCTGAAATGTTATTTGGGAGGAATTTCAGGGGAGATACTCCTTATCTCACTGATGCTTCTCTGTAACCTGTACTGTTCGGAGGCAAGGTCCCCTCGCTGTGGTCATGCACCGCGCCTTTCCTTCATTACTTTGGCTAATCAGAAGTTGGCTGCACTTCAGTGCCTCTTAAAAGCTTTTCTCTCTGGCTCTGTCCAGGAACTTGAAGTGCAGTGTCAGAAATGATGTGAGTTGATGAAGAAGAAATAAACAAACCCAGGCAACATGTGAGGAAGCCTTGGCAGCCCTGCTGCTGTTTGTAGTTTTGATCTGAAGGAGCCAGATTTCCTCCATGTGGAAGGAATGAGACGGTGAGTGCCCCAGTGCCGAGGAGCTGGAGATGCACATGGTACTGGGCCTTCTAGATTGGGGCTCCACTTAGTCTAATGAACTCTGGGATGGAAATGAGTCATTTATGCTTGGCAGAGCAGAGATAAGTCACATGTCTGCAGCCTGAGCTGTATGTATGTGCAGTGAAAAATAGCATCTGTTCAGGGAAGCAGAACATTCCAGAGTGCCTCAGTCCCCTCCAAGAGTGAAGAATAGGAGAGGTGGGTGGAATTTTAAAAATATTTTGTCCAAATTTAACAGGCAACTATTAATCAGAGACACTCTGCAGGGGAGAGGGAGGGATCAAAACAGGGGTGAGAAGACCATAAGGGACTGTGGTGGGAAGACAGGATTTCTCAGGCTTGGGGGTGACTAGGGGGCAGTAATGCCAGAGGTAGGCTGTGTGAGTGGTGCCCGGTAGAGTCAGGCAGCACCTGGGCTGTGGAGAGGCAATGGCTTCCCTGCAGGAATCCAGATAAGTGTGGAGCAAATTGGGTTTGAAGTCACCCCTTTACCCAAGAATAGTACCCAATGACTAGGAGCCCACTTTACTTTTGTAGCTCTTTTCAGAGGGACACACTTCTTGGAGCTTATCAGACTTTCTTTCATTCTGTTGGTGGAAATGCGTGTGGGGTGCTGCAAGTGAGGCCAGAAGCCCCAGGCATGTTTGAGCACTGAAGTGCTGAGAGCAGGACTCAGTTCCCACACTGATAGATACCATTAGCCCGTGGTAAATTAGGGTCTCCAACACTGCCAACCTCATTTTGAAAATTGCGGTCCTGTTGTCATTGCCCCAGCCAAGTAAACTAGATCATGTGGTGTGCTATGCTTAGAAACCCACAGTGGTAAACCACACTGCTGCGCGGAGGCTGGTAAGAAAAAGTGTTGCTGTTTGTTAATGTCCTTTCCTAACTTTGGCTGATTCTTAAAAAAAAAAAAAAAAAAAAGCATTAAAGGGGGCTTTTAAAATTTAGAGCCATTATGAAAGATTAATTCAAGGTTAAAAGTTGCCAGAGAGGGCCTCCCTGGTGGCGCACAGGTTAAGTCTCAGCGCTATCAAGCTATCACCAACCACTGAGGCGTGAGTTCAATCCCTGGCCAGGGAGCAAATCCAATGGCGCAGCAAACCTCTCCTGTCTTGCCCGCTGCCCCCCTTAGCATTGTATTTCAGTAGATCCACCTGTTCTGCTCCCTACTCTGATTCTGGTGAACCTCTTACCCCCTGCACCTCTGGCCTACACTCAGTTCTTATATACATGAATAAATAAAAATAAATCTTTAAAAAAAAGTTGCCAGAGTTTGTGAGACCAATAATATTTTATTTAAACTCACAAACACAGACTGGAGGAGTTGTCATTGTTTACTGCTTGATTGGTTTCCTCCACCCACCCTGGTTCATCTCACCATTATACCCACTTGGCTGGGAGAAAGTGTGTGTCTTTAAATTGACCTTCGGCTTCATCATGTGGCCACCATGTGGCTTCACCTGGACAACCCTGATTCCAGGAAGTAGTATATTTCCTTGGAATCTTGGGCACCTGATCACTTTGTTGAGGAATTTTTGTGCCATGTCTGGGGCAGAGAATACATTTCCTTTTGGAAATTGTTTCTCCCTGACCATCCCTTTCACTGGTTCTCCTGATTTCTACAGATGCCACATATATGAGGTCTCCTTGCTTCTCTCCAGGAAATATACTGAAGACATTCAATCTCTTAGTGGATCATAAGACAAACTTGACTAAAGTTGTAAGAATTAGCAGTGTTACTGGCTTCTGCTCTTTATCAAAGACCACCAGAGTTACTGATCTGAAGTCTACGGGTCAGAGGTGGGTCTTAACAGGTCTCCAAAGTAGCAACAAGAGTGATCCTGGTGGTAAGATTACTAGAACTCGCTGGCGGCTGGGGAATGAACCGGCACTGCAGAGGCTGCGGGCAGCCTCGCAGCCCAGCCCTCAACCTCTGCACCACCAGGGGAGGCCTCATGACTTTGTTTTTTGATAGAAATCAAGCCCTGGAAATGTTTTTGTGGTATGTCCTCATATTCTGGTGTTTGAACTTCCCACGCGGTCTGCTCTTTGGTGCTGATGTAGTTATTTGTGAGTTTATCCTGTTGTCCAGTGCTGTCGTAGCACTTTGGAAACTAATACTACATATTTTATTTGAACTGAAAATCTTCTATGTGCAAATCAGGAACAAATTCAGTTTCTAAGAATACATATATGTTGATAAAAACAGATTATCTGGAAAATCAAATTTCTTGAATTCATTTACATGTGGCAAAAACCTGATTATTCTCTTCCGGATTCCTGAAAGTACAAACAAAAGTGAAGTGGGTGTGCCTCGCTTCCCAGCTCTGAGCCTTGGCTTTTATGAAGGATAACTTAGAAAGCACACCTGTTAGTGGCACAGCAGCACTGCCTGCTGATAGGAGACATAACTTTTGTTTATATATTTACTTATTGCCTGTGACATAATTTCAGTTCACTAGTTCTCCATCTTTTTTCTTTTATTAGCAGTGTGTGGGTGTCTGAAACCACAGTGGCTGAAAATTTAATGGAGGTTTATATAATAGTGTTCATATTTACAGTATTAAGTGCTGAAGTGTGATGGAATTCTATATCCATCGGGTTTTTAACTCCCTATAAAAATTTAATGTTAAGTTTAAGATTGGTTCATATCCATGATTTTCTTACTACAAAGTGGAATTGTGTATGTGTACACATAGATTAACTATGCCCCAAACAAGATATACATCATCCAAGTACAGTTTTATAGGAGTGGGAGTGTAAGAATCAAAGCTCATGGTTATTTTGCAAGCATTTTTCCCTTTACACAACTCCGAGAAGTCTTTGAAGTATCCTGTCTTCACTTCTTCAGTTTGTTCCTTCTGTATTTTCTCTAGATGGTTTGCTCCCCACTTGTAAGACTTGACCATAGGGTTTTCATGAGAGAACCAGGCTCTTCTTTTCCTTGGACCAGAGCACAAGACATCCATGCCTTCTGGTCATTTCTGGAGCCCAATTTCTTCTGAACCAAAAGAGCATGCCAGTTCTGTAACCAAAAAATGTTAATAATTAATTACACAGGATTGGATTTTCTTTGGTGATTATGCAGCCTATTTATGTAATTTACCTGCTAACAAAAATTAGAGAGCCTTTTATCAGGCTCTTCAGAGAAGAGAATGCCTGGGACACTGCCCTTCTGGCCTTATTTTGCACAGCAGGGCTGGATGGAATCTGTGTTTGGGTGGGATTTGTCATGGAGAGACCCAACCCTGCTCCTTCATCCCAGACTGTGGCGTGAGGCAAGTAACCAGTCTCTCAAGGACTTAGTTTCTTCACCTGTCAATTGAGGATAATCATACCCACTTTGTAGAAGTGTTGGGAGAATTAAATGAGACCACATGTGTACAGCATACCTGCTACACATCAAGTGGTGCCGATCACCACCGAGAGGAGCAAATCTGCTTTGAGTACTTTAGTAACCTCTGAGGGTTTCTCATGAATTGTTACCCCTCAGCCGAATTGCTCAAAGCATTTTCGTATATTTTCAGGCAGATGGAGCCTTCAGGGCTGCTCTTTCCCCGAGAGGCTTGCTGCCCACTGAGTCTGCTGGAGCTCCCTTTCTCATTAACAGGCCGGATCTGCAAGCTGCGCTTCCGAGTGCTTCCTCTGTCTTTAGCATCAGGAGTTCTAGAGTGTGTCCTTTGACATGAAGTAAATTTAATGGACATTTAGAAACACAGTTAGCCCTGTGGTTGGGTTTCTTAGGTGTGTTGCTTGGAAAGAAAGTCACCTCCCTGGGAAGCTGCTCTGTGTGACAGCTAAGGCCCTTTCCTGAAGGAAAAATCTCAACTGGGAGGGGGATGTGTGAAAGATTTTTTCGTTTGTCCCAGGAGAAATGCACACATCACACACAATGAATGGGCCAGGCCTGCGACCAGCTTGTGCTGCAGTTTGTAACAACCCAGCGAGGTAATTTATTTCACTGAGGGAGTTGTGGTTTTATGTGCCATGTATTGGTGTCAGTGAAACCTTGTTTTAAGAGGAAATGGCAATTAATGTTAAAAATAGGAAATAGCTTTTCAAATTTGTGGTGGAAGAGACCCAATAAAAATGACTATCAGGAGTTCCCTAAAGGTGAATGTAAGAGATTGTGAATGGTATTTTCTGTCTGGTAAGCTGACAGCTTTTGATTTATCAGTATAAATCAAAGTCTGACTGCCAACAATGTGCAGGGCACACAAGAGAGTTTTACTGCAGGGGAGAAAGTGACTCTGAGAAAGTGACACACAGATATCTGGGTTGTCCAAGGAGCCAGCGATGGAGGACCCGGGCATGCTTGGTCAGCTTAGGCCGTGTCTGTGTCATCACTGCTGCTGTTCTCCCACTGGGAGATGGCAGCTGGAAGATCCTCTGCTGCAGGAACAGCTGTTAATCTGTAACCCAGGTTTGCTTGCACCCTTGCCCAAACATTTCAGCTCATTGTTTTCAGCAACAAAAGACCGGGTGTGCATTGTCATCACTGAGTGCTGAACCCTACAGAGATTGTCTGTCTTTAGTATTACTGATGGGATTGGGTCTCTAAAAGCCACTCTTAAAGATTAAGTTAAAAGTTGAGAATTATGATTTTCAGACTTTCAGAAGAACTCTTAAAATTAGATATGTCAATAGAGCCATAGCACATGTGCATTTAATGCATAATAGAAATTCAACTATATGTGCATGATTCAAAAATAGAAGTAATGATGAAAAGGATGTGGAGTTGCTAAACAGTCTACACAATTCAAGTGTGCCATAGAGCTGGATTTGTCAGTCTTGGCACTGGCCTGTCATTGAAGCCTTCCTGAATCCTCCAGACTAGCCCCTGCACCCACTGAAGCCTTTGATTTATGGAACAGAAGCCTCACCCCACTGCTCCTTATTCAAATCCCATAAAATGTGAGACACTGTAAAAAGTTGTTTTCAGTGACCATTTATAA